TTGCTGTTTTTTAAAGTCTCAACAAATATAGCTCAACTGGTTTCCTAGGATGTCTTTCATTCCTCTCCCCTCAGTGAGGGATTATTCATAAATGTACAATCACATTTAAAATTTTAGAACTTTTTTTTTAACCCTTGGGTACCATATTCTAGTTAATGAGATACACTTAGGACCAAGAAACCAGTTATTTTTATATTATTTATTTATTGTTTTTCAGTATTAGAGATTGACTCCTGGGGCTACTAGCTCTGAGCTAAACTCTTTTTACTTTTTATTTTGAGACAGGGTCTTGCCAAGCTGTTAAGGCTGATTCTGAACTTGCAATCTTGTGATCCTCTTGCTTTAGCCTCCTGAGTAGCTGGGATTGCAGGTGTGTACCTCTGTATGTGGTGTGTGTGTATACATATGTGCATATATATATTTTAGTTGTAGATGGACAAAATAGCTTTATTTTAATTAATTAATTAATTTATTTATTTATTATGTGTTGCTGAGGAATGAACCCAGTGCCTCATGCATATGAGGCAAATATTCTACACTGAGCTACAACCCCAGCCCCATATATATTTTTTAATTAAAATTTTTTTCAGGGGCTGGGGTTGTGGCTCATGAGTATTTGCCTTACACACGTGAGGCACTGAGTTTGATCCTCAGCACTACATAAAATAAATAAATTAGTAAAACAAAGGTACTATGTCCAGGTTCAACTAAAGAAATTTAAAAAAAAATTTCCATATCCATTTTTAATATATATTTAGTTGTGGGTGGACACAGTACTTTTATTTTATTTTTACATGGTGCTGAGGATCGAACCCAGTGCTTCATGCATGCCAGTCAAGCACTCTACCACTGAACCCCAGCCCCAGCACTCCAATCTATTTTTAAACCAATCTCTTTAAAATCCACTAAAAAGAAACAAAGTATTTTAGATATGAGTAATCCCCTTTTTTTCTCTTTGCTTATCAATAGGCACTAATGCTAATGCTAAGTTTTTACCTAAGAGATGCTTACAGTCTCCTGTGTATAGGAAAAGGAAGGAGAGGCTATGACCAGCAAGTAAAGAGATAACATCAATCCAACAAGGTAAGTGTATTATGAACATCACATTATGAACCTGATATATTCTATATACTACTCTTTGATCAGTTATGTGGAGTTTCAAATATCTTCTCTAAGTCTGTGGTTTATCTTTTAACTTTGTTTATAGTGTCTTGTCTTATAAATTTTAAATTTTATTGCAGCCATTAACCTTTTCTTGTATGTCTTTTTTTAAGAGGCCACAGAGATACTCTTATATTCCCTTTCAGGTCATTAAAACACCTAGAGTTTATTTTTGCGTATCATACATGAGAAAGACCTAATTTATCACATTTTTGCATTTATTACATAGGTACTCTCTTTCCACTAACTGCCACCTCCTCTGCCCCTAAGTGAGTCTTTTTATGTCTGGATGTGCTTCTGGGCTCTCTATATGTTCTAATCATAGAACTTTCTATCCTTATGCCAGTTCCACATTGTTTTACTTTTCTTGCTTGATATCTGATAGAGAAAGTTTACCTTCACTCTTCTTCAAGATTGTATTGATGCTTCTAAAATAAATTTAGCACTTATTTGTGAAATTCCATGCTGAGATTTTATAGGAGATCCAATGAGTTTACTGATTAATTTTGGAATGACTGCCATCTCTATAATAGTTTTCCAATTCATAACTATCTTTTATTTGTATCTTAATTTTAAATTATGATTCATAATTTTCTAAGTTTTACACATTGTGACTATATTTTAAAATTACATTTTCTAATTGGTTGCAGCTAGTAAAAAAATTGCCATTAATTTTCATTTCTTGTTCTTTTATCTAAACACTTTGCTGAATTTCTCTATTGTTCTAAGTTCCCTGTAGTTTCTCTTAGATTTTCTACATCAGCAGTCATTATTTGCATATAATTTTGAGAAAGTTTTTCTATCTATATTTCCAAATGACTACTTCCTTTTTATTTTATTTTGTCTACTCTGGTATGAGCCACTGAAAATATGGTAAGAGAAAGGGCAGATGGACCATCTAAGTTCATCACTTAAACCTATGACTATAACTATATAATAACTATAATTTATTGATTTTGTCAGGTACTATATAACTCCTGACAATAGCTGTTACTCTCCCTTTCTTCCCTGATGACAGAATAGGATTCTGTTTATTAGATGATCATCTACATCACATGATTCAAGCAAGGGGAAATCCATGAATACTCTTAAATCAGTTTTTCCCAGCAGCTGGTTAAGGGTATGTAATGTGATTCAATTCTGGTTCACCAGGCATTTTATTTATCCCTTTCCTTTTTTATGGGGGTGGGGGTGTGAAATAGATTGGGAAAAGAGCCTTTTGAAAAAAAGAGATGCTTCTGAAAGCTATAGACAGGAAAGAAGAATCTGTTTTCTCCTGTTAGATATAATTTTGATTGTATGTGATATTTGTAACCATCAGATACCAAGGATTATAGAGCAAAAGGATAAAAAGAACTTGGGTCCCTGATAACATACCTGGAACTCCTCTATTGTGAATTGTTTTAATATTTGAGTCAGAATATTTTCTTTATTGTTTCACTACTATGAATTGATCTTTTATCTTTATTTGTTGCTAAAAGCCTCTTAACTGAGATACTGACTCAGATAAGCCTTGATCAGACCTGTTTACAGTCAGCCTGTAAGAGGATACATATGCAAAACCCCTAGTACCTATAGTATAAGTAGAGCTGAAAAGAGCAAGAAATTAAGGCCTAGAACCCAAAGAGGAGGCCCAAATGATGTGGTTTGTTAGGCAGCAGAGTTATTGTCTTATTTGGCAGTATTAAGTTGTTTTTGTATACTGACATTTCTAGGGAACTAAACAAAATGAGCTAAAAATTCTGTATTTCTTCAACCTGGAGGATACTTCACTCTCTTAGGCCACCAAGGCCACCAAACTTTGGACAATCCTCCAGGAGGATTTAAAGGAAGCAAAGAGCAGCAGCAATCTCTTGGCATCCTTATCTCAGGTATGTCCTTTGGAAGCCAATCTGCTGATCAGCTACTTTACAAATGAATGGAAGCAAAACAATTTTTTCCCTCTTAACTGAATATAAATCATCATTTTATTCATTCATGAATCTGACCTCAATCTTTGGCCTGGCTTCCTTGCTGAACCTTAAACTTTAATCAGTATATATAGGACTTCAGCTGTAAAATGAGGAAATCAGCATACCTACACGTTCCTCTACCTTTTAACTTTAGCATCTAATCACAAGCTGCTTGCAGTAGGATCTGACTTTTTCAGTAGGTATGTTTTCGAGTACCCTACGGTTGCTTGTATCTTTTACTTTTTGTATTCCTCATGGTATCTAGCATGACCCTCCAAATTTATTTAGCAAAAAAATTAAGTATGGAGAAGATATTTTATTATCGTGTTCTCTATCAGAAAAATGAATTGCGGGCTGGGGCTGTGGCTCAGTGGTAAAGTGCTTGTCTAGTAAGCGTGAGGCACTGGGTTCGATCCTCAGCACCACGTAAAAATGAAATAGAGATATTGTGTGCCCATCTACAACTAAAAAAAATAATATATATTTAAAAATAAATTGCAAGCTGTAACAAGAAGTGGTGTATCTTCAACTAATTCATCAAATCATATTATGACTCCATCTCTTTATTTCTCTTTTGTTTCTTCCCTTAATTCTTCTTTGAGCACCCAGCATTTTGAAAATTATTTCTTTGTTATTCTATCATTTAGGAATTTTCCCCGTCTTGTATCTCCCTTTCTCTTATTCTCTTCCACCATTTTCCTCTCTTTAGGTAGAGTGGGCACATTTACATTCTTTACTCCTTTTAACCCACATAACTATCTATGAGGTAAAGAAATTATTTATTAGACTGTTTTTATAGACAAGGAATCAGAGTCTTTAAAAGAGCAAACAATTTGATTAAAGCTAACCACTTAAGTTTAGAACTAGGGCTTGAAATCAGAGATGACTTTTTTTTTTTTTGGTGTATGTGGTTTTTATTTCATATATTTGTTAAATATTTATTCCTTTGGACATCATTATTATTCCTTGGGACAAGAGCAAAGATCACCCCTACCTAAATCTAGGAACTATGTGCAGAAATTTTTTTTTGGGGGGGAGGGGGTACAGTGTGGGTGGGTAGGAATGGGTACCAGGGATTGATCCCTGGAGGCACTTAACCACTGAGCTACATCTCCAGTCCTTTTTATTTTAAGATAGGGTCTCACTAAGTTTCTTAGGGTCTTGCTAATTTTCTTATGCTGGCCTTGAACTTCTGATCCTTCTATCTTGGCCTCCCAAGTCACTGGGATTACAGGTGAGTGTTGCCACACTCAGCTATGTACAGAACTTTACAGAACAGAGGCAATACTTTGGCAGAGGCTGAATGCTGAGCATAGAATGGAATTCAGCCAGGCAATCAAACTTCAGCTACCATCAAGGCACATCTTGTGGTGGTCACAAATTATAGGATGTTTTTAGAAGGTTTGGGTATAGCACAATATATATATATATATTTTTTACAAATAATAATAGGTGACATTTATTAATGTTGAAGTATAAGCCCGGAGCTTTTCTAAGCTCTTTATTAACTCATTTAATTCTGACAACAATTTTATGAGATACTGAGTTAGAAAAAAAGGAAAAAAAAACTCTGTTAAAATATAGAACGAACAACTCATAAATAATTCCTGAGCTGGACACAAAAGAGCCTGAGGGACAAAAAAGAACCAAAATGTAAGGATGCACTAAAGAGCCCATAAATTATTTTATAACTTTCCAACTCCTTATAAGTTTTTTTTTTTTGAATGTACTAAAACAGAAAAAAGGCCTTGGTAGAAAGAGACCATCAACCTTGTAAATCTAGGGGCAAATGTTTGATTGGACCACAAACCTCTGACCACCCACTGACCACCTGAGATGTTGATGTATGCTGAAACACATACCAGACCAGGTAGCTTAATGGAGGAACACAATCATGCTGAATATTTCCCAGCTGTGAGAGAAGCTCAAACCTCTTTGGATCATACATATTCCATCTAAGTATGCACCCTAATAAATACTCATGCATTGGCAGCATGTCTCACTTTTGAGATATAGCACGAGAATTTCATTTGTCTACTTGGCTAGACCCTTGGTTGAAGTGCCATTAGGTCATTGTCACTCAAGTTCCTGGTTAGCCAAAAACCAGCAGCAAAGAGACCGAAAATGAGGATCAAGTTCCTCTGGAAATCATTCCTATCAGTGGCAAAGTAGTAGAGTCCCCAGAACCAGTCTCCTATCTTGCCAAGGAATTGGGGGGCTTCGTTTGCTGAGCTGGCAATGCTCGTGGTGACTCCGCTGGAAGCTATTAATACCTGTGAGCTCTGCAGAGTCTCACAGGATGCCTAGAGCTAACTCTTAGAACCATTATATAATAATGCCTCTCTGATATAATTTATTCCTTAATTCTCTTGCTTCCTAAATTAGGAAGGTTCCAGAGAATTTCTTTAAACACTTTTCCGCAAACCCAAAGCAATACACCCATGTGGTTAAAAAGAATAGAGAAGGACTGATAACAAGAAAGCAACAATTCACAACCCCACTTCCCACAAATACATTTTTTTCCTTTGGTCCCTGATAATTATCCACATGTCTGCTGTGTATGCAATCTTAAATATTTATGCCACTATATATACTCATTTTCTGACATGGGAGAAATTAACCATTACAATTTCCAGACTCCCAAACTTGTATCCTTTCTCCATTCTTCTTTTGTAATAATATCATTAGACATCCATCTCACCAATTTCAAATAACATAAACAAACCTTATTTTCAGTTCCAACAATCATAAGTAGAATTTCTGGTTGTTCTATTTTGTATATTAAGATGTTTCTCTTTATTAATTAATAATTGCATGATGTCCAATCTAAATAATTTGTATCTCAGAAAACAAAAATTAGATTGCTTTTAAGTTGTAGGACTCAAAGTGCTTTGCTATGAGTCAATCATTTTTAACCAAATAAAAGAATCTTTCATCTTAGTAGACCAAGTTTGGTTCTTTGAGTCTTTCATGGAAGTCTGGGAATAGACTTCACACCTTTGTTGTAGCAACAGGGCTCTCTTACTACAAGAATATTTGGCACAAACCTTTGAAAAGTATGAACTGTTGGAGGAGAGCACTCACCTGCTGCTGTCCCTGTAACCGCTGTTGTAGTTGAAGTCTAAGTTGGTTAGGTGCAGCTGGAGGTCTGTTTAGAGTTTGCCTGGGCTGCATACCCATGCCAGGTGAAAAAGCACCTCTGGGAGGTGTTACTTGAACAGGCATAGTCCCCAGTGAAGGTTTCTGCCTGACCATGCCTTGGAATGGGCTAGGGAGATTGGCAGTAGGAGAAGGAGAAGAGTAAGGCTGTGAATAGAGGTTGGGTCTTTCTTCCATCATTAGAGGTGGTGTTGCTTGCTGTGGTGGAAATCTCTCTGATAATACATCTAATCCACCGCCCTGTCAAGAAAGAAGGCAGAACACTTTGCAAATACATTTCTGCCAATAAATGACATGTGTTGCTATATAATTTTGGATCTGTAAGCACGTTATCTCTAGAAAGTGTCATCATAATATATTCATTCTGAATTCCTGCTCTCTAAAAGTTTGTCACCTAAAGAAATCATTTGTGAAAGTTGCTTTTGAAATGAAATAACGGATAAACTAAGATGCTTTAAATATCAGCAGAGATGAGAATATGATTAAAATAAAGGACCTAAATCAATGAAGTGAAGTCACAAGTTTGAAAAGAACTTCAATGAAAAGTCTAAGAAGCAATGAACTTTACATTTAATAAGTTAACATAAAACTCAAAGTCTTTAAATCAGAGTAAATAATTTGATTAAAGCTAACCACCTAAGTTTAGAAGTGGGGCTTGAAATCAGAGATGACTCTTTTATATATGTTCAGGCATTTTTCTCTCAAATAGAATCCAATCTTTTACCTTATTTGAAAAAAATCCATAGCTAAAAGTAACATAAGACCATAGAGTTTCATCTTTCAAATGTTATAACTGTACTCACTGCAAGAAATGTAATTTAAATTGTGATCTGGTGTGTGTGTGTGGCAGAGAATGAGAGAGAGACAGAGACAGACAGGGAGTGTGTGTGTGTGTGTGTGTGTGTGTGTGTGTGTGTGTGTGTGTGTGTATTTCATGAAACATACCTTGCCCTTTTTATGGGCTATGCATTCTGACACTGTATTTTACACTCATTTCCACTGAAAAAATGCTGGTCATAAGCTGGGCATGGCCACATACCATAAAATTTTTAATCCCAGCTTCTTGGGAATCTGAGGAAGGAGGATCACAAATTCAAGGCCAGCTGGGCAACTTAGTAAGACCTTGTATCAAAATAAAATTTAAAAAGGGCTGGGAATATAGGTCAGTGCTTGCCATGTATAAGCAAGGCCCTCAGTTCAATCCCCAGTACCATTAAAGAAAAAATGCATTAAATTCATTTTATAACCTTACAACATGAAAAATGCTAAATAGGATGTTGAAATATCATGGAACATATGTAGGTTGAAGACCACAATTCCCAATAGCCATATCATGGAACCAGCCTATGTGTTGATCAATAGGTGAATGGATAAAGAAAATGTGGCACATTTTATATATATATATATATATATATTCACATACATACATACACAAAACACAATGGAATTTTACTGATCCATTAAAAAGAACAAAATTGGGTTATTTACAGGAAAATAGTTGGGACTTAAAAGCATTATGTTAAGTGAAGGAAGCCAGACTCAGAAAATCAAAGGTTATATGTTTTCTCTCCTCTGTGCAAGCTAGAGAGATGTAAAGAAAAAAAAAAAAAAGAAAGAAGAGAGAAGAAAAGAAAAAAATGAGTTTGGGAGGAGGAAAGATCGCAAGAAAGGGGCCAATGGGGCTGGGAGGGGAGGGAAAATGGAAGTACTGGACAATGAAATTAACCAAATTATGTTATGTACATGTACGAATAGAATATAACAATTAAGCCCACTATAAGGTACAATTATAATGCACCAAAAAAAAAAGCATGAAGAAGGATAAATTTAGTTCTAAAATAAGAAGTGATGATATAAATCTGGAATCTATTCTAGCTAGAGCTTGTAAGATTCTGATCCATAGTGAAAAACTAAGGCATTCTAATTCTAATGATCATGGTACTTTTTTTTGTTTAAAAAGCCCATTAGTTATTGTGTGTGTATGTGTGTGTGTGTGTGTTTTTTTTTTTTTTTCAGGGCCCAGGACTGATCTCAGGGCCTTGAACATGCTAGGCAAGTGTTAAAATCCTTAAGCTAAACCCTCAACTCCTTTATTATGTATTTTGATAAATTCAATAAGGGGTAAATTATAAAACGGCTAAAGCAGGGTGGGGATGATACTGAAAAATCTTGCTTAAAAATCACTTTCTGGGGATGTGGCTCAGTGGGAGAGTGCTTACCTAGTATGCATGAGGCCCCAAGTTCAATGTCCAGAACAACAACAACAAAAAGTCACTTTCTGGTTTCTCAGGGTTGCACTGTTTAATTAATGCCAACTGTAATAAATACCTGAACAAGTTTGTCAATTCCCAGTGCTCTGTCTAGTTCAGCAAGCTCAGTTTCATCTTTGCCACTGAGGAAGGACACCAGTTGTTCCAGAAGAGCCTTCTCATCATTTCTTCCTTCTACTGTTGTTGGTGGACAGAGAAGCTCATCTAATTGTGAACTGATACACTGGCTGCAGAATCAAAAGATTTAAGAAAGTTTCAAAATGAAACAGCAAAAAATTATTCAATATTACGAATGCAAATACACACATATAGGTACAAATCTGGTTCTAGAAAATTTTCTGTTGAAATGCTTGGCAATAAATTCTAATTCGATAAAATGTTCCATGCTTAATGTACAGAAATTAAAAGAACATCAGTATATACAGCTTGAATACATTTCATTCTTTTGTCAATCATCAAACTTTGTTTCTAAATTCTTCATATTAGCTTACAGAAATATCCTGAAAAAGGGAACAAACATAATTAAGGGAAAATAATTTTCAACAAAAGTAAAAAAATAAAAATAAGATAAAAACTCAGAAAAGTCATTTGGCCTATACTCAGATTTATTTATTTATTCTATATCATCAATTATTAATAACTGAAGTATAATCAAAACAAATATTATTTTACTTTCAAATATGATCAAATCATGCCAGGCACGGTAGTGCATTCCTATAATCCCAGTGGCTTGGGAGGCTAAGGCAGGAGGATCGTGAGTTCAAAGCCAGCCTCAGCAAAAGCAAGAAACTAAGCAACTCCGTGTGACCCTGCTTCTAAATAAGATACAAAATAGGGCTGAGGATGTGGCTCAATGATTAAGTGCCCCTGAATTTAATCCCTGGTTTTGCTTCCCCAAAAGATGATCAAATCCTATTGACAGCATGACACAATTAACATATATGAAAGAAATCAAACTAGAAAAATGAAACATGGTAGGCATGAAGCAACAAAACAAACTGTTGATTTGTAGAAAATATGTATCTAATCCAAAGTGATATCAACTTAGAAACATACAGAAAATTATTATATGTAGAAATATAGAAAAAATAAAACTTAGAAAAATATAGAAAGTAATACTAATTCTAATTACACTAATACAATAATATAAGAACTCTTTCTGTGGGAAAGTGATGACCCTTTGATAATATATGTTAAAGGAAAAAGAAAAGCCAGTGTATCAGTTTATAATGGGAACCCAGTCCAAGTTAAAGTTCTAAACCACACTCAAAGCTATTTAGTCTCCTTTTGGTTGCCATGCATGAGACATACTCTGTGCTAAGGAATACAGCTGCCTATGTGGATTAAGAAATTAAATTCTAATTAGAGTACTAAATAGACGTAGAAAGTACTTTCCTTCCTTATGCCTTCAAACAAAGAGAAATTTTAGACAAAATAATTACATGACTAAAAGCTTAAGGGCAATATAATTGTTATGCTGAGGCCAATTCATCCACAGGTCCCAAGAATATTACAGTAATCAAAACAAAGGAGTATAGATGAAATACAAAACAACAGTTATATACCATGTCCATCTCTTGGTGATCACAATGTACACTACCCTTCTGTCATGTAGTAAATTAATCTGCTTGATTCTGTATTCCCTCACCCTCTCTTTTCTCCCTTAAACATTTACATCAATGTATAACTCACAAAATACAATGTAAACAAGAATTCAATTTGGGAATAGTAGTTCTTGGCTTAGAGGTTGGTATTTGATACTTTATAAAATATAAAATATATTACTTACTCTTCTGCTTTATTCTGATTAATAGCTGTCACAGCATTATTTGCCCATGGAATCTGGTCACCTGTTCCTGGTTGTCCAAACTGGTTATCAATTGCTTCCAATTCCAGTTCAGGCAATCCTGATTGAAGAAGAAAAGGTCATTGTCACAATAAAAGATAAAAATGACAATATTTTCAAAATACATTGTGTAATTGTGAGATTTTTTCCCTATAAAATATTACTTCAATGACAGGTTACTTACTCAGAAACATAAATTATCCAGAATGTAGCTATATATAAAAGTAAATGAGAAAGTGAGAAAATATTTCTCAGTAAAAGAAAATATAGAATTGAGTTTGTACATAGGTTGATATTACCATAGGAGAATCAAGAACTTTGTCAGAAATTATTTATTTTAAAAGTAAATTTAAAAGTAAATAATTTCAGTTAACTACTTTTTCAATCTATTGCATATTACACTACACTGTATGTAGAGAGAGTGTCATCACCATGAAATGAGAACTAAGAGCAAAAGATAAAATGCAGTCAATA